TTATCCTGCATTCTGTCATGGTCCTTCTCTATATTAATGGTACTCTCCACGGTGGTATTGTCTATTCATGCTGCTGTTACTCTCCGATCTCTGAGTCCAAATGATTAGGAAAGTGGTGAATTATTCTAGTTCCAGCACTAATGCTTGTGGAAAACCATTTCCCATCATCTGTTGATCTGAGTAAGCGCCCTCTTAACTCCTTGCTCTGTTTCATAGATTTTGCCAACTTCTCCGCCAACTCCATATGTTCTGAGTTTTATCAGGGCTCCACAACACAGTACTTTCTCAAAACCTGTTTTAAAAGTTCAACTATATTAGATCCATCCTAATCTCCTTGTTTTATTTAATTTCTGAACATCTTCAATATGATGTGTCAAGTATAACCTTCTTGTTTGAAATTGGTATTGACAGTGCCATTTTACGTGATCTATGAAGAGATTAATGATAGACCCCAGTATGTGTTGCAGACAAAGATGCTTGGCTGAGAATCTACCCAAAACACAGGTCTTTGTTGTCTGTGAACCTTCTTCTCTGCCAGCTGAGCTTTTTGTTCCAAGCTAAAACAAAAATTGCTGGAGAAGGTTTGGCAGCATCTGTGAAGAGAAATCAGAGTTAAAGTTTCAGTTCAGTGACTCTTCCTCAGCTTTTTGTTCCAATGACCTTCCAAACAGTCAGCATCCAGAGGTCACAGCCCTCATGGAATCTTCCCAGTTCAGTGTCAATGTGTACTAACCTCATATCTCCCATGTAGGCATCCTTGTAGCTCAGGTATGGACACCCAGCAAGTCATGACGATTTCACCATACGCAAGGTCTTTGGCCATTTGGCTGTTATCCATTTGCTGAATGACACTGAGCCAGCACACTATCATGATTATAGCAATGAGCGTACGCTGATGGAATGAACACATTTCAGGACCCCTGCGTTTGTGAACTTGGAATGCCAAGAGATGCCAAGGATACATTTTAAGGCAGCAAAGGAGAACATTTCATGAACTATTCAGCTCTCCCTTTATTTCTTCCCTTACGTTCCACACCATATTGTGGTCACTGAGATGGTGTCTGTACACCAACCCGAAAAGTAACATCAGGCTGTCCCCCTTAATACCTAAGGACCAATCCTTCTTCTCCAACTCTGGAATGATTAGCAGACTGTAGTTATTTATTTGTTTGCTTTCTTGGTTCATTTGCTTGGGTCAGTTTTTGTCTAATGTGTGCAGGAGGGTTTCCTGACACAGTATGTAGATAGGCCAACAAGAGGCGAGGCCACATTGGATTTGGTACTGGGTAATGAACCAGGCCAGGTTTTAGATTTGGAGGTAGGAGAGCACTTTGGTGATAGTGACCACAATTCGGTTACGTTTACTTTAGCGATGGAAAGGGATAGATATATACCGCAGGGCAAGAGTTATAGCTGGGGGAAAGGCAACTATGAGGCGATGAGGCAAGATTTAGGATGCATAGGATGGAGAAGGAAACTGCAGGGGCTGGGCACAATTGAAACGTGGAGCTTGTTCAAGGAACAGCTACTGCGTGTCCTTGAGAAGTATGTACCTGTCAGGCAGGGAGGAAGTGGTCGAGCGAGGGAACAGTGGTTTACTAAAGAAGTTGAATCTCTTGTCAAGAGGAAGAAGGAGGCTTATGTAGAGATGAGGCGTGAAGGCTCAGTGAGGGCGCTTGAGAGTTACAAGTTAGCCAGGAAGGACCTAAAGAGAGAGCTAAGAAGAGCCAGGAGGGGACATGAGAAGTCTTTAGCAGGTAGGATCAAGGAAAACCCTAAAGCTTTCTATAGGTATGTCAGGAATAAAAGAATGACTAGAGTAAGATTGGGGCCGGTCAAGGACAGTAGTGGGAAGTTGTGCGTGGAGTCCGAAGAGATAGGAGAAGTGCTAAATGAATATTTTTCGTCAGTATTCATGCAGGAAAAAGACAATGTAGTCAAGGAGAATACTGAGATACAGTCTATTAGACTAGACGGGATTGAGGTTCATAAGGAGGAGGTGTTAGCAATTCTGGAAGGTGTGAAAATAGATAAGTCCCCTGGGCCGGATGGGATTTATCCTAGGATTCTCTGGGAAGCTAGAGAGGAGATTGCAGAGCCTTTGGCTTTGATCTTTAAGTCGTCATTGTCTTCAGGAATAGTGCCAGAAGACTGGAGACTAGCAAATGTTGTCCCCTTGTTCAAGAAGGGGAGTAGAGACAACCCTGGTAATTATAGACCAGTGAGCCTTACTTCGGCTGTGGGTAAAGTGTTGGAAAGGATTATAAGAGATGGGATTTATAATCATCTAGAAAGGAATAATTTGATTAGGGATAGTCAACACGGTTTTGTGAAGGGTAGGTCGTGCCTCACAAACCTTACTGAGTTCTTCGAGAAGGTGACCAAACAGGTGGATGAGGGTAAAGCGGTTGATGTGGTGTATATGGATTTCAGTAAAGCGTTTGATAAGGTTCCCCATGGTAGGCTATTGCAGAAAATACGGAGGCATGGGATTGAGGGTGATTTAGCGGTTTGGATCAGAAATTGGCTAACTGTAAGAAGACAGAGGGTGGTGGTTGATGGGAAATGTTCATCCTGGAGTTCAGTTACTAGTGGTGTACCTCAAGGATCTGTTTTGGGGCCACTGCTGTTTGTCATTTTTATAAATGACCTGGATGAGGGCATAGAAGGATGGGTTAGTAAATTTGCGGATGACACCAAAGTCGGTGGAGTTGTGGATAGTGCAGAAGGATGTTGTAGGTTACAGAGGGACATAGATAAGCTGCAGAGCTGGGCTGAGAGGTGGTAAATGGAGTTTAATGCGGAAAAGTGTGAGGTGATTCACTTTGGAAGGAGTAACAGGAATACAGAGTACTGGGCTAATGGTAAGATTCTTGGTAGTGTGGATGAGCAGAAAGATCTCGGTGTCCATGTGCATAGATCAGTGAAAGTTGCCACCCAGGTTGATAGCGTTGTTAAGAAGGCGTACAGTATGTTAGGTTTTATTGGTAGAGGGATTGAGTTTCGGAGCCATGAGGTCATGTTGCAGCTGTACAAAACTCTGGTGCGGCCGCACTTGGAGTATTGCGTACAGTTCTGGTCACCGCATTATAGGAAGGATGTGGAAGCATTGGAAAGGGTGCAGAGGAGATTTACCAGGATGTTGCCTGGTATGGAGGGAAGGTCTTATGAGGAAAGGCTGAGGGACTTGAGGCTGTTTTCGTTAGAGAGAAGAAGGTTAAGAGGTGACTTGATAGAGACATACAAGATGATCAGAGGATTAGATAGGGTGGACAGTGGGAGCCTTTTTCCTCGGATGGTGATGGCTAGCACGAGGGGACATAGCTTTAAATTGAGGGGTGATAGATATAGGACAGATGTCAGAGGTAGGTTCTTTACTCAGAGAGTAGTAAGGGCGTGGAATGCCCTGCCTGCAAAAATAGTAGACTCGCCCACTTTAAGGGCATTTAAATGGTCATTGGATAAACATATGGATGATAATGGAATAGTTTAGGTTAGATGGGCTTCAGATTGGTTTCACAGGTCGGCGCAACATCGAGGGCCGAAGGGCCTGTACTGCGCTGTAATGTTCTATGTTCTATGTTCTTTTGAATGCTATGCGCATTGACGTACAGAGCCTTTAGTTTTATCCTTCTGGAATTTTCTCGTCTTATGTTGATTTTCTCTTAGATTTGCTCTCTCTATCCCTTCCTGTCTGTCTATCATTCTCCATATCAATATCTTTTTCTTTGTCTATTACTTAACGAACAATATTTTCAAATCTGATTCCTTGATAGCTCCATTATTTAAGTTTCAAATTGTTTCTGAAATAATATTCTAGTGGTAACATCACTAGGCCATCTCCACCCTCATTGGCTCACTTCACTTGCCTTCTACTCCTCCAATTATGGTCTCATTCCTTTTCGTTCTCAGTTTCACACGTCCCCTGGTTGTCTTGCAAGTCTCAGAGATTTTGTATCTTCATCTGTGAAGACAGATGCAAAGTATTTGTTTGGTGACTCCACCATTTCTCTGGCCTCCACGATAAATCCCACCCATACCTGAAACACGCTCACATTTATTTGAGGTAATCCTTTACCTTTCACTTACCTAAAGAAACCACCCTTATGTTCCTTGTTCACAGGACCTTGACTTTTCTTTTAACCTTTCTCAGTTTCTGAGTTCTTCTTTGATGGGTTCAATACTGCTCCTAAACCTCAGGCAGACACTACTTCTGACTCCCTTACAAACCAGTTGCTTTCATCAAAATGTGATCTTTATCTTTTCCCCATTCGCCCCAGTCAATTAACTTATCCATTTGGGAGCCTGGGTCTTAAAGGAATCTATGTTTGTTGCCGACCATTGATTTGAATACTTGCCATAACCTAGCTACCAGCAAATCTTTTAATGTATGTTCACAATCGACCACTGCCAAATTGTCCCTTGTACCTTGAGAACATTTTCCAATTTAGGACCTTAGTTTCCGAATTAGCTGTGTCAGATTTAAACTTAATGCATATTATGGTCATTACTTCCCAAAGGCACCTTTATGACAAGGTTATTAATTAGCCCTTTACATTACATGACACCAAATCTAAAACAGCCTAATCTCTTGCTGGCTTCTCAACATTCTGTTTCAGAACCCTACCTCATATACACTGCACAGCATTAGTGCTGATGTGGTTAACCCAATGTGTCAATTGCAATTTACTGTTATTACTCTCTTACCCATGTTTTACAAGTCTGTAAGCTCCTGATTTGTGCTGTGTCTACCTTACTACTGCAGTTTGCTGGCCTACAAACAACTCACGTTAATGTTTATTAACTCTTACTGTTTTGTTGCTTCACTCAAATCAATATGTTAACTTCATGTTTTCTCAAACACACACAATGGTCCCATTCTAGCAGGATTGCCAACCAAAACCACACCCCCCCTGTAAATAAGCAAGCCCCTCCCCACCCAAACTGAACAGGCACAAATCGCCCAGCAATTTAACATAGTGAATGAATGGAGACTGAAGGAATAATCAATCAATCTTTATTTATTGCAATGTTTAAAACAATCAGTAACCAGGGAATTGGCCCTGATTGATATATAGACTGCCGCCTTTACAGAAAGCACATACTGGATGATGAGGCTGATTATACAATGTACCCAGGAGAGACAGAGAACAGCTTTTTATTGAGTTCAGTCCCAAATCCAACACCTGCACACAAAGGGAATATTAGTCAGTGAGTAAAGATTGAAGGATAGGAGTACAAGGTTTGAAACAGCCATTGGAAGTTCTGAATGTTTGAGGTCCTCCACTTTTCTATTGGAATACCTCAATGATAAAGAATTATTCACTCAAAAATGTGATTGTTAAACAGACCCATCAGCAAGATTTTCTCAAGTAAGGGCATTAACTAAGCAACTAGGCTTTACAGACACCCCTTTTAAATCCCTGTGGTTTTCATGACCTGCAAGTTGTTTAGAAAGTTAAGATGAGACTACAGATTGCTGTCTGCATTAACATAGAGCTCTAGCCCTAATGTCTGGAATGGACTAGTTACTTCATGTAGTCCTCAGCGCTGTCCTGGGACAGCAGGAGATCCTTTACTTTGGGGATCAATGTTTTCAGATCCCCAACCAATTTGTGAACCTGGATGTGGTTGAAGAGTTGCTCATTGTCTGGTACTTGCTGAGCTTGGCCAGCAGCTTCCTCCAAGAATGTCAGCAATGGGCTCATGTTGTACATGTGCTGACTCTGGGTCTTCAGAGCATTCACTTTCCCCTGGTAGGTGCACAGATACTGGCAGCAGTTCCTCATCCTGGCTTGGAGCTTGGCAAGTTCCACGCGGCTCTCCTTCAGGGTCAGCTCAGCTGCCTTGCTCTCCTCCAATCTCTCCGTCACTCCATTGATATCATTGTAGAGCTCAGGCACTTGGTTGTTGATCTTCTTCAGCAGCTCCTCATCCTGGCTGATGCTAGATTTCAGCGATGACCGGTCATCAGAGGCTACATCAACCTCTGATTTCCGGAACTGCCGTTCCTTCTCAAAGGCCACGGCCATTGGGATACCTGTGGGGAAAAACAATCAGTTTCTCAGTCTGAACTGGCCCTCAGTCCCTCCCCATTCCATAGGGATGGTGCACCCCGTGGACCTTGGGATTTAGGTCAAGTTCACTCAGACTTGGGTATTGTGAAAGTATAACTGCAGTCTCCATTTTATATGGGTTTCTGGCCATTTGCCACCAGCTGTATGGTCCGGGGAAAAAACAATGAACCCTCCTGAATCAAGGGCAGGAGCAACAGTTCAGTGATCAAACAAAAGAGAGCCTATTGTCCCCCATTACCAACTGAGGCACAGGGACAGGCAGGCGTAGAAAGACAGGCAGGCACAGGCAGGCACAAACAGGCAGGCGTAGAAAGACAGGCAGGCACAAACAGGCAGGCGTAGAAAGACAGGCAGGCACAGGCAGGCATAGAAAGACAGGCAGGCACATACATGCACATACAGGCAGGCATAGAAAGGCAGGCAGGCACAGATGCTCCCTGTCACTGGCTGCTTTAGTTCTATCTTCCCAACAGTTTCTGGTTTATCAGGAAATTAGTAAATAGAATTCAGAGCAAAAACTCAAGATTGCAGTTGCGAGGAAGACAAGGGGATGGGACAGAACTAACTCAGACACCTTTACTCAATGGGACCCTCTTACATGTTCCAGAGACTGTGTAAATGGAATATTGTCATTCATTGCTAGAGAGATGGAGTTTAAAAACCGGGAGGTTATGCTGCAGAGACAGCACAATGTGGAGCTGCATCAGTCTCTGACTCCAGAATCTGCAATTTTTGCTATCTCTAAGTTTACAGCTGTATAGGGTGCTGGTGAGGCCACACCTGGAGTACTGTGTACAGTTTTGTCCTCTCTACTTGGGAAAGGATGGACTGGCACTGGACGGGATGCAGAGAAGGTTCACTAGGTTGATTCTGGAGTTGAGAGGGTTGGTTTATGAGGAAAGACTAAGTAGGCTGGGACTGTATTTGTTGGAATTTAGAAGAATGGGGGAGGATCTTGTAGAAACATCTAAAATTATGAAGGGAATAGATAAGATAGAAGCAGGGAGGTTGTTTCACTGGCAGGGTGAAACTAGAACGGGGGGGCATATCCTGAAAATAAGGGGGAGCAGATTTAGGACTGAGCTGAGGAGGAACTTCTTCACCCAAAGTTGTTGTGAATTTGTACAATTCCCTGCCCAGTGAAGCAGTTGAGGCAACCTCGCTAAATGTTTTTAAGACAAAGATAGAACTTGAACAGTAAGGGTTATGGTGAGTGGGCGGGTAAGTGGAGCTGAGTCAGTGAAAAGATCAGCCTCGAGGGGCCGGATGGCCTACTCCTGCTCCTAGTTCTTATGTAAACCAATGAGGGGGAGGTTTAGGCGATGAGAGGCTATACCAACCAATTGGCATAGCACCAATGTATCCAAAGGCAAACTGAAGGGCCAGGAGAGGTCAGGATTCAGAGGCAAGCCTCTGGGCCCTGTACCGAAGGTTACTAAGGTGCATTTGGAGAGTAGGATTTTGCTTTTCCTTGTTTGAAAGGTTAGGGGCATAATCTGGCCAAGGCCTAGTGGCTGGTTATAGTCTGGCCAAGGCCTAGCGGCTGGTTACCTCCTGACTGAGAATTGTACTCACCCACACAGGGCAGGAGGAAGCTCAGTCCGATGCCAACATCTCTGCCAGTTTGTTTCTCGCCAGCCTTGGCTCTTGCTGCTCTCAGTGTGTCCTCAGCTTGTCTCAGGGAAGTCTTGCCAGCTTGCAGTCGGCCCTGGATCAGCTCCCTGTCGGTCTCCAGCGAGCGTAGCTTGGTCTGGTTCTCCAGCAGATTGGTAGCCAGCTTCTTCCTGTCACCACTCACCTGGCCGTACTGCATGGTCAGCTTCTCACAGTGACCATCTATCACATCGCCCAGGGCCTCAGCTGCTGTTGCTGCTTTCTGAGCCTCTCTGTCAGCAACCTCCAGCTCCTCCTTGAATCTGACCATGTCCTTTTCCTCCAGATCCCTGAATCCAACCCGGACACTGATCCGAAGCATAAGCAGGAGCGACGAGACACTCTTTACAAAGTGGGGCAGTGCCGTACCTTGGAAAGAGCTTTCATGGTGCTCAGGAGAAAACTGTTCGCTCATTGCTGCTCTGTGGGTGAAAGAGGGAAAAGTGAATCAATACCGAGAGAGAGAGGGGGAGAGGGGCAGATGGAGACAGAGGAAGTGTGGGGTGGGGTGGGGGCATTGGCAGAGAGAGAGAGAGAGTGAGGAGCAGAGTGAGGAAGCAGAAGAGAAAAGGGGAAAGGTAGTCAGGGAGAGGGGCTAAGGGTGGGGCAAATGGTGATAGAGGAAGGAGTGGGAAACAGTGGGAGGGAGTAGAGGGAGCTGGGTGTTGGACAAGGAGAGAATGA